AGAGAGAGAGAGAGAGAGAGAGAGAGAGAGAGAGAGAGAGAGAGAGAAACAGAAGGGGAGAAGTGGGGGGAGACAGAAGCTGCCTCTTTGGGAGGGAGGACTCAGGCTGAGAGGGAGAAGGACTCAGGCTGGAAGCTGAAGATCAGCATGCCTCAGTGGGGGAGTGGGTGTGGCTTGTCTCTTAAAGGGACAGAGCAGACCATTATAGAGTGACTCTTACATAGTCTACCTCTTGCCTCAGTCTGGAGACCAACTTCCTTTCAAGAGTAAATAAATCTACAGTCCTGTCTTCTGGCTCCAATACCTTCTTCTGCATTATAGGTGGTGAGCATTATTAAAGGGTAGTCGACTCCCTTAACTCCATCAAAACTGTTCTTTTTTATATGCAATACTGGGATTGAATATAGGGCTTTGAGTATGTTCATCAAGCACCCTGTCAGTGAGCTGTGTCCTCAACCCTTTTAATACCTGCTGTCTTTGAGACAGGTTCTTACCAGGTGGCCCAGTTGCCTTTGAACTCAGACTGTAGCCCAGGTAGTCCTTAAACTTGGAATCTTCCAGCCTCATTCTCAACCTCAGCTGTGATTACAGGCAGAACTCTTCTTGTATGTACCAGTGATCTTGCCTGTGTAGACTAGAAAATATGTCTAGTCTTTATTTTTCCTTTAGCATTTAAATCTTAATTAATAAATGTCTCTTTCGAGCTGGGAGTGATGACTCATGCCTTTAATGCCAGCATAAGGGAGGCAGAAGCAGGTGGATCTCTGAGTTTGAGGCCACCCTGGTCTACAAAGAGAGTCCCAGGACAGCCAGGACTACACAGAGAAACTCTGTCTTGAAAAACAAAGCAGGTCTCTTTGAAACTAATTCTACCCGTTTCCTTTTTTTTCATATTTGTTTGTTTGTTTATTTATTTAGTATACAATATTCTGTCTATGTGTATGTCTGCAGGCCAGAAGAGGGCACCAGACCTCATTACAGATGGTTGTGAGCCACCATGTGGTTGCAGGGAATTGAACTCAGGACCTTTGGAAGAGCAGGCAATGCTCTTTAACCACTGAGCCATCTCTCCAGCCCTCTACCCATTTCTTGTAACATCATCTGTTCATTCTCTTCCTACTGCAGGAGCTGCTGTTTTCAGTCTTTTGATTTTTTTCCCCTCTTTTGCAAGTTTTCTAAATCACTATGCTTCTTAGAGTTTGGTTCTCTTCAACTCTCATTTCATATATTCCTTGCTGGGTTATTTTAAACTATGCCTTATGTTTCCACTGTGCCAATGCTGGTGAACTCTACGGCGCGCATAAACGCGCTAGGTTTCAGGTATGTTTCTATCAGGCCTCTATCTAAACTTCTCATAATATGTGTTAAAGTCATGCCAGAGGTTAACTGTGTCATTTAAAGTATGATGTAAAGAAACATCATTTAGCATTTCCTGTCTTGGCTATTGGTTGGGTTAACTACCCAGCTCTTTAGTGTGAGGCTCTCTCATCCACTCTGTTCATCTCCTGTCTATCTCTACCATCACTTGAGCCTTTTAACCCTCTTTCCTTTCCATCTTATCTCCCACCACTCTCTATACATGCCCTAAGATTCATTTATACCAGCTTGCTTCAGCTTCATCAAAGCTGTCATGCTTTCTCATTCCCTACCTTTATATCCCTGCTTCCAGCTATCTAAGTGATCGCTGTTGGCATGCTGCTTTACTGTTTAGGAAACAACTCCACTGCCAGCTCTTTGGTCAAGTTTTCTCATAGTCTCTAGGCACTTTGTATTTCTTATTTTAAGAACATCCTTTGTTGTCCTAGGACTTCGCAGGTTATAATATGTAGTTGTTACCCAGTAGACTATGAACTCTCCAGGGCAGTGACCTCACTCTGATAGTAGATCTCAAATGAATGTATACTAAGGGAACATGTTTGATGTGGCTTCTCCAGAGACCTTCTATCATAATTGGGGTAGAAATGCTGTACCAGGAACTTAACGCTGCAAAAGTTTTGTGAAATTAGAGCAGCTTAGATTCTGAGATAAAGCTAACTCTTAGAAAAAATGGGTCCTGGCAATGTTCTTGTGGAACAAGGAAACTTGGCGCCTGGAGAGCAATGCATGTCAGTCAGTTTGCTTTGGACTTTATAAAGGACCCTCTAAAACTTGTCAGAGGTGTGCATCTGGTGAGCGGAGGTGCCAAGGATTTAAACAGTTTAGAGATTATATCTCCTATTCGTGTTACTCCCATATTCTGCATAAGTTCAGGCTTTGGGAAAGGATAGTGAAAGTGTTTTTGCAGTCTTTCTGAATGTATTACATCTTGTGCATCTGTGTTTGGGTGCAACCAATTCCATTTAGATAAAATTAGTTTGAGTTTTTCTTTTTATTATTAACTTTGTTTGTTTATATAGTACTGACTTTTTTGGAACTCTATATAAACCAGGCTGGTCTCAAACTCATAGATCTGCCTGTCTCTGCCTCCCAAGTGCTGGGATTAAAGGCATGCATTACCACACCTAGCCAGATTTTTTTTTTTAAATATTAAATCCTAAATAAAGTTAACAACCAGGCAGGCCTGGTAACACAGGCCTGTGCTCAGGAAGCCAAAGCCAGAGGAATTTCAGTCAAGGCTGACCTGAGCTACCAAATAAGTTGAAAGCCAACTTGGAGAATTAATTGGGACCCTGTCTCAAAACAAACAATCAAAAAAGTAAAAAAAAAAAAGGGGGGGGGACTGGGTATATTGCACAGTAATAGTGTGCTTTCCCAGCTTCTAGCTGTTAGATCTGAAGTATAGTGGATTTGAGCTCCTATAAAAGCAGTGTGCTTTCAGCAGTGGGTGGTGGTGCACACCCATAGCCCTAGCTCTTGAGAGACCAAGACAGGAAGATTTCAAGTTGGAAACCAGCCCAAGTTACATAGTGAGTCCTTGCCTGCACCTACCTCCTACAGCACAGTGATTTAGTGATTTAGAGAGGGAAACACGAGGGCAGCACGGGATCGCTAGATGCTGGAGCAAAACTCTGGGTTGGTAATTTGCATGAGAAGGTGTTATTCACTGTGCTGATCAGCTGTCACTGTACCATCATTCTACTTAGGTAGACACATGGGTTCCACCTCCTGGTATTGGTGCTAGATGGCAGTGATGTACATGGTGAAGCAGACTGCTTACCTCTTGGCCAGGAAGTAAGGAGATAAAAGGGCCAGGATCCCACAGTCCTCTTTAGAAATTTATTCCCCAGGGGCTGGAGAGATAGCTCAGTGGTTAAGAGCACTGACTGCTCTTCTAGAGGTCCTGAGTTCAATTCCCAGCAGCCACATGGTGACTCACAACCATCTATAGTGGAATCTGTTGCCCTCTTCTGGCATAAAGTTGATAGAACATTCATATACATAAAATAAAATAAATCTTAACAAAAACAACAAACAAAACCACTGTGGCTCACTAAGATAAAAAATATCTGGTGACAAACTGAGTTGAAAATTAAAAAAAAAAGAAATGTATTTCTAATGATCTGTGAGGCCACTCTCCTAAAGATCAAGCTTTTAGCAAACACATGAACCTTCAGAGGACAATCAACATGTACACTATAGGATATGTTTCATAAGGTACGGAAGCTGCAGAGGGGGAGGTGGTGAGAATAGGGGAACACATGCCTATAGTCTTGCCAGCTGAGGCAACCATGTTAAGAAGTAGGCTCATTTCTGTCTAGTCTGTTTCACTATGTACCTTCCACTCTTGTGTCTTAGGAATAATAGCAAATAGTCCTGTGTCCACTGTGCTGCTTAAGAGATTGTCGTTTGGTGATACAGTATTGAGCCTAAGTCTTTTTTCTTTAGGAAATGGACCAAACAATGGCTGCCAATGCTCAGAAGAATAAATTCTTGATTGATGGATTTCCAAGAAATCAAGATAACCTTCAAGGTTGGAACAAGACCATGGATGGGAAGGCAGATGTATCTTTTGTTCTGTTTTTTGACTGTAATAATGAGGTAATAAACATCTTCATCTGCCCACATGGGCTTCAAGCTATAGATGATCAGCGGTTAGAGAAAAACATTGATGTTTTTTCATTTACATTTTCTATTGGCAGCAGTATATATATTTAGTAAGTGAATAGATTGGGTGGGCAGAGCAGCACTTCTTGCTAATAGACTATTGAGGGCTATTGGCATTGGCTGCTTTGTGACCCTAAGGCTTGTTCTATTTTCAATATAGTAAGAGTTAAGTTGACTTTTGTTTTAGTAAGCATTGACATACACAGTAATGTCAAGTAATGAAGCTGAAGTTTGCACTACTTGGAACAGTGTATTGTTTACTAGAAGATACATATCTGGAAAAGTGGAGAAGCCTACTATTTTAAAGAAATGTAGGAGAATTTATCTTCTAAGGATAAAATTACTTGGAAATAGTAAGAACACATCCTTCCCCCACCTCCAACACTTCTAGTAGCATACCCAGATAGACCTCTGAGTAAGTAAATTTCTCAGAACCATTTAATTAAAAAGCTTGACTCTGTTTAACAACCACTATGCTATAAATTTCATTAAATTAATGCCAACAGTCTGAATCTGAAGTAGTGCCTTGAAGGAAGTTGGCTATTCTTAGGTTGGATTGTACATGTGCCTCTGGTAAAGACTTGCCACAGGCTTTGAGTTGTTTTAAAATGTAACTCTCTTCTCCCAACTCTTAAAAATATGTTTTCACTTATCCTTCAAAGTTAACTTTAGAATGTCACCACAGCTTTATAACTAAGGAATGTTTATTCACGATTAACAAGAGATGCTTTATTCAAATGTGTTGACTCAAATATTTGGATATTTATGGAGTTATTATAAAGTAACCAAAAATGACACAAAGTTTGAGGAACGTAATTCATACCTAATGAGTTAATAATATGTCCGAGATGAAGCCACACCCACACAGAGCTTCTTTTCATTGCAGTTTGAAAAAAAAATACACAGGAAAAACTGAGTCATGAATGAATCCTTATTATGATCTGTACTTATTTAACCTAGTTTATATAAATTGAACCACATGTTTAAATTTAAAAGATTTGCATGTTGATTAATGAGTTAGACACATTGAGTTTAATGTAGGATTTTTTTCTGTTTTGTTTTAGTCTCTTCAAAATATTTCCTTTTGAGTTTTTTTTAAACATAATTTTTTACTTCTGTCTCTTTTTAGATCTGTATTGAACGATGTCTTGAAAGGGGAAAAAGCAGTGGTAGAAGTGACGACAACAGAGAGAGCCTGGAAAAGAGGTACTTTGCAGGTTTTATTCTACCTCAGTCCTGGTATAGGCATTGGGTGACAGATGAAATTCCCGTTCTCTTGTCCAGGAAAGAACATCAAGCTTGTATAGGCACAGTGGCTTGTAAAAAGAAAAGTATTTGAGTCAGACTTTGTCATTACCTTCTGTAATGTGGAAGAGGGAGGACAAATTACCTACAATCTTGAAACATATATTTCATTTGCAGAATTCAGACGTATCTTCAGTCAACAAAACCAATTATTGACTTATATGAAGAAATGGGGAAAGTCAAGAAAATAGATGCTTCTAGGTCTGTTGATGAAGTAAGTGTACCAAGCTTGCCTTCGTAGCACACAAAAGTGAGAAGTGTGGTCATGGGGTAGGTGAGAGACATTTGAGGCAAACTTTGAAATTGGTTGTTTTTTTGATTTTGGGTTTTGTTTTGTTTTTGTTTTTTTCCCCCCATTTCATTTTTAAAAGTCTAAAATGGGTTTTACAACTTCAGACCTGTTTCTTTTAGAAGAAGTGGGTGGTTTATTAATTCCAAACCTCTTTCCTCAGTGGAAGGTTGGTATTTTCAGTACACTGAATTATATCTTGTTTGTTGTTCAGATCTGTAGCACAGCTGGCATGTCGTAGCCAAGGGCCCAGCTATTCTCTGTTCCAGAACATAGAGCTTCAGAGGTACAGGGCTCCCAGGACTCTGGCCTCTGTCTTGCTTATACTTCATGCTCGTACTTCCATGTCTGTGAATCTGTCTGCAGGTATCCCTAGTGCTTCTGAGTTCATCTACTCTCCCTCCAGCTGATCCTCTCCATCTTCTTCCTCTTGTAATCAAGGGACAGAAAAGCAAGGCCCAGAGGCAGGGTCATTGAGTAGTTCACCCATTGGCACTTCCTACAGTGGTGAGGCAGCACATGAGAGGACTTAGAGTTTTAAAGTCAAAAATGAGATTAGCCCCTTGAGTTTACATTTTACTAACAGCCCATCAAGAAGTGCATTTTGTCTAGAAAACATTAATAAAATTGAAGGCAACATGTTCATAATTTTGTGTGCTTCATTTGTATTATTGATAAAGTGAAATAGATTAAGAAATTATAATGTTTAAAATTAATATAAAATTGATGTTTTTAACAGGAACTTAGCTGTACAATCTTTTATGTGTAGTTTGTTTTACTTTTAATTTTGATGTTGGGAATTGAACCCAGGATCTCACATATGCTCTACAGTGTTTTTAACAATATCTGCTTTTAAAATTGTGTTTTTCCTTTATAGGTTTTTGGTGAAGTTGTGAAGATTTTTGACAAAGAAGGCTAACTAACCGTGAAAAAATATCTTTAAATCATGCTTGAATATTGCTTTATAGCTGCTATCACAGCCCCCTTTTAAGGCAATTTTAATCTTTCAAAATTACATCTCAATTAATGTCTAGAAATATATAGTAAGACAAATTATGTGTTATTTTTAATTTGTGGTCACAGTACACAGTAAATTCAGGTTTGATCATCTTAGGCATTATAGTGCTCACCAAATGAAGAAGGGTTTCAGCTAGTTGTTGTTTGTGTTACAAGACTGTCCCTTTTCTGTTTGTGCCTTCTGTGAGCAAAATTGTTTAGTATGCATGTATATCCCTTTTGTAATTGCACCGTGTTAGGATTTGGAAATTCTTTTGCTGCACATTTAAGATTTCCAACCTGTTAAGTGAATCTGTGGACCAAATTTAAAGGAACTTTATGTCTAGTCAGTTCTTGCACAAGATATTTAGTAAACGAACTCACAAAATGGATTCCTTAGCAATGTTCTAGTATTTATCAAATGACTGACCATTTTCTGTCAAAAGTTAAAACTTAGGCATTGATTTATTACAGCGTATGCAAAGTTGTATGACAGGGCATAGTCTTTGCTTTCAAGGTTTGAGTCGGGACGGGGCTTCAGAGCCTGACAAGATTGCCAGCTTTCTTCTGACATAATCTATGGGGCAGGGAAATGACTTGTGTTCCTATGCTCTGTGACATAGGACTAGTCATCACTTAATTGATGTTAACACGGTTCTTAGTAGCAGACCCCGACATGCATGTGCTAGTTTATGTTGATATGATTCATTCTTATTTTAATAATACTTCAGGGTTTTTTTGTTTTGTTTCTTAGACTAAATACAAAGTTAGAATAAATTAGGAAAAGCAATCTAATAGTTAAAATTCCCATTTGTATTTTATTTTCTGGAATACATTGTTTCATGGTTATTTGTTTTAAAAAAAGATTTTAAAAATCATTGCACTTTGGTCAGAAAAATAATAAATATATCTTATAAATGTTTGATTCCTTTCCTGCCTGCTTTGTTCAATAAAGTCTGAGAGTCTGAATGATTTTCTTTCTTTAAAAAATTAAAAATTTGTTTTCTTTTTCTTTTTTTGTCCTGTCTATCCCTAAAACTGAGTGATACCTAAAGTTCTTCTTTTTTTAAAATTATGTTTATGAATGTTTATGTACCATGTGTATGCCTGGTGCCTATAAAAGTCAGAAGGTATTGGATTCCCTGCCATTAGAGTTACAGAAAGTTGTGAGCTGCCATGTGGATGCTGGGACCAACCTTGATCCTCTGCAAGAGTAGCAGATGTTCTGCACTTGCTCTGAGTGAGCCATCTCTTCACGTCTCTCCAGCCCTGTATCTAAGGTTCTCTATAGAGAGATTTCTTCAAATGTTCCTCATCTTCAGCATTTACGTTATTTGGTACACAGGGTTAAATAGAACACAGACTTTGCATAATTAGATTTTATATTTAAATTTATCGGGAAGAGTAGGAACATGTAAACAATTTTTTTATAATACATTGCTATGTGTCTTACAAAATTCACTTATTAATGAGACCAATTTCAACATACTTGTCATTAGAAAACAAAGTATCCCTCCATACAGTACATACTATACAATAGTGATTGCCCACCACAACTGACATTGGGTCTGCCTTGGCTCTTGGGTGATTATAGTGTGTGTCTAGTATTTTAACCCAGTAAAGGAGAGGCTTTGTTGGTTAATCACACAGCTATGAAATGAGGTGAGGGTACAGACTTGTGAGACTTCCTGTTCATGCTAGAGAAGAAATCTGTCAGCTGGGAATGTAACTATTCTTACTGATGACCACGAGAACACCCTTTTGGGGTTTTGAGGGGACTAGGTGTTTTCCTTTATCAAATATCTCCCTGGCATTTGCAAATGAACCAAAAAACACATTTCTAAATTATGAGTACTTTTTTTGTTTGCTTTTTAAATAGAAAACATGTTCACAGTATTGAGTTTTGGAGTTGATTGAGATACATCTGACATTGCTAGTATAGTCATTCCATTTATTAAAGACACAGTACTAAGAAGCTTTTGTGATTCTTGAAGGACCTTACTTTGAGCATTGCTGTATCTTAAAAGTTAATGTTATTTCCGTGTATTAGTGTTGAGTGTATATGAATTATTTAATAATCACAATAAATGTGCTGATGCCTTTGCTGTCTTTGCTGGTCCTGATTTCTGTCCTCTTAAGGGTATTGAAGATGAGATAGTATGACATGTGAGCCACCACACAGCAGAAGCAGAGTTCAGGGCAGAATTTTCTGCTCTGCCTTGTGTTTGGGTATCTGGACTTAAACTGAACATGAAACAGTATCCCATTACTTCAATAGCTGATCTGGGCAGAGCACATGGAACGTGTTTCACCACCTGTGGGAAGCATTTCTTGCTTGTCTCTTGGAATGTGGGCTTTTTGTAGACTGGCTATGTTATCATTTTAGTATTTGCTTTCATTGAAGAAGTAACTGAAGGTAATGGTGATTGAAAGATTAGACCATAGGTTAGCACCCCTTCCTTGAAGATTTGGGTCGTCACCTTCAAATGGGTACTAATGACACAAGCCATTGTGCTACCAGCAAATTCTTTGCCTCCTGGTTTTCTGTCTAGAACACTGATGTAGGTGTTCAGATGTCTTCTATTAATTTCTACCTTTTTTTATTGTCTCCTGTGAGACAGAATTTCAGCTGTATAGCCAGGCTGATATCAAACTCACCGCCCTCCTGCTTTAGCCTCTTCTGTGCTGGGATCATAGGTCTATACCACCACACTGGTTCAGTTATTGTTACTTAGTTCAGGTATCCTAATAGCCCGTATCTTCAGCTAAATCAAATATTCCTTAATTCTAATAATTTATTTTTAGTAAAAAGGAAGCTTATGTGCCAAAGAGGAAGAAAAACAATAGTTCTAATCCCCCGTCCCTTTCTTTCTCATCCTTGAAGCCAGTGTGTAGGTATAGGTGCCATTGTATGTTGATATAATAATCTGGGTGTTCTCCAAACCCTGTGTTTCACCATTTTTTCTTGTTGGGAGATAGGAAAATTCAAGTTGAATTTTATACTAGGGTTAACCATTCTAGCTCTAGGCACCAGCTCAGGCTTTTGCAGACCCTTCTACCAGACCCCTCAGAGCAAAAACCCACTTTTGTTGAGTCTTGGTGCAGGAGAATTGTCTGTATTCTGTCAATCATGTTTTAAATAAACGCTGATTGGCCAGGCAGGAGGTGTAGGTGGGAAAACCAGACAGGAAGTGGAAATGATGCAAGGAGAGCAGGAGACTTCTGGGAAGGAGGAAGCTGATTCTTCCCACTCCTGCCCAGATCACCAACGCAGCAGGATGTGAGCTGCCCCACTGAAAAAGGTACTGAGCCACATGGCTAACATAGATCAGAAAAATGGGTTAATCAAGATGTGAGCATTAGCTAATAAGTAGCCTGACCTAATGGGCCAATCAGCTTTATAACCTATAAAAATCTTTGTGTGATTTTTCTCTGGGACTGAACAGCTGGGGGGCCGGGCGAGACAAAAACCCCAGCAAACAAGAAGCCCCCCTTCATGTTACAGAGTCTGTCTTCAAAGAGGTCTTTCTTGGTAGATCACCAAATACAGTATCATATTCTAGCCTTTAGTGTGCTCATGAACAGCGTCAATTAAGAGCACTTACTGAAATGAGCACAAGTTTGGATCCCAGCGTTCTGCAAATGTGATTCCAGCTCTGAGGGATCTAGTTTCCTCTTTGGGCCTCCATGTGTGAGCAGGCGTGTGTACACACACACACACCACCCTGTAAATGCACAGACTCTCAGATACATACACATGCATAAATAAAAATATATATTTTGGTTGTTTGAGACAGGGTTTCCTTGTAGCCCTGACTGTTCTGGAACTTGCTCTGTAGACCACACTGATTTTAAACTCAGATCTGCCTGCTTCTGCCTCCTCAGTGCTGGGATTAAAGGCGTGTGCCACCACTGCCTAGTTAAGAATTATCTTTCTTAAAATCATGTTTCTGAGCTTTGGAAGTACTCATACAGTAATTTTTTTTTTATATACAATGTCTCACTATGTAGCCTTGACTGGCCTTGATTTCACAGTACCTGCCCGCCTCTGCCTACCAATTAAGTGCTGGGATAAAAGAGGTACGCCATCACTCCTAACTCCCGAATTTAAGATGCGCTTCCAAGAAAACTCCTTCATTAAGTTGTGTTGGGAGTTCTAAACTCTTGGATTCCTGTGAGGATGCAGCTGAAGTAGCCTGCCAACTGCCTGACTCTGAGGACTTCCAGGGCCAGAGGGCAAAGCTATTGGCTAAGTTCAATAAGTGCTTTAAAAGGCACAAAGCTACATGCCCTGGCTCCCATGAGCTGTTTATAGGCTTTATAAAGAAGCATTTTACAAGCTCTTAGAACTTGGTAGAACTTGATATTGGTAAGACAGTACCAAAGTGGCCTCATGATGTCAAGCCGCTTGCTCTCTATCAAAAGCACAGCAAATACTGTCATTGCCCTCATTTGGAATGGCAGTCTAAATGGACACATTCTTTACATTATGTGGAAGGTAAAAAAGTTTAGATGGCTAGCTTTTAGATTGGGAGAGAGTACTTTGACTTTAGGATGACTAAGTTGTTGACCTCAGGGTGTAGCTCTGTAATAGAGCATTTATTTAGCATGAGCAAGGTCCTGGGTTCAATTTCCAGCACCACAAGAACTAAATAATAAAATGACCGGGTTAAAACAGCTGGGTATATATAGTCAGGTGCCTATCATCCTGGTTATATTGGAGACTCAGGCAAGAGGAAAGGATCATACGCGTCCAGGAGGACAATACAGCAAGCCTGAACAATAAAGCCAGCTACCTCAAATAGTGTCTGAATGTGGCGTACACAGTGTCCAGCACGATTGAGCAGAGTGTATCTCTTCCTCCGCTTAGAGCCTTTACTTAGGTTCGATAAGTGCTCTTTCAGAAAGGAAGGTGAATACCAGGTATGGGCTTGTCTGCTGCTGCTTACTAATGGAAAAATACAAAATCTGGGGGCAAGGAGAGTAAAATTTTATTCCACTGTACTTACATTATGGTCCTTGCTGGGGCTGGTTTGTCCTCTCAGCATCACTCATCAGACACCACTTCTTGTTCTGTCCCCCAAATGCTTGTAGACCACGTTCCTACCCCTTTCCTGGCTGTTTAGTGACAAAAACCGCTTCAGGAATGTACTTCATCTTAACACCGTCTGTCTTCATTTCTCTTCATGTTTTGAGTGATTTTATGGATATTTATGAATTTGACTCAAAGTAGTTACTGAGAGCTAAACCATTGTCTTATGTGACCACATAGAACTATATACACACAGTCTAATAACGTTCACACAAGAGTATGCCCTCTTAGTTTCAGCTAGCTGGTCACTCACAGGCCAGTTTTCAGGGGTGTTGATTCCGAGGCTTGTTTCCAAAGGATGGTAACAGCACCAAAATTTTCATGTGTACAAAAACTGGTCTGCTATTCATTAAAAAAAACAAAACAAAACAAAACAAAGAAGGCTGTTGAAAAAAAGATACAACCAACAGCTATACCCAGTCCCTACAAACTTACCAGACACACTAAGGTCCAGTGGTTTCTTAACCACACTTTTGAAAATGCTTTTTCTGCATATGTATGGATGTCTTAGACGTATTCATATGCGAGGGGGTTCATATATATGAGGATGCTTGTACACTTGTATATATGCTTGTGAAAGTGGAAAGCCAATGGATTTTTCTCAGTCAGCTCCTGCTGAACCTGGGGCTTGCCGCAGGGATCTCGTCTCTGCCTCCTGAGTGCTGAGAGGGTAGGCAGTCACCATTCCTGACTTTGACATAGGTTCTGGGGCTCTGACTCCATCCTCATGTAACTCCCTTATCCATTGAGTCACTCTCCCTTGGTTTTTCTTCCTAGACGAGCTCTCATTTTGTAGTCCAGGCTAGCCTGGAACTCACTGTGCATCCTAGGTGACCCCAATGTGCTGCAGTCCTCTTTCCTGCCTCAACCTCCTGAGTTCTGGGTTTACAAGTGTGAGCTGCCACAGCCAGCCAGTCTGCTTTTAATGCTGTCTGGCTTTTACTTCCATGGTCTTATTTTGTTTTTCTAGCAGTTCTGAGGCACTTTGGAGTCATTTTTCTTTTGCAAGGACAATTAAAGCAAGGCCCAGAAGTTCAAGTAAACTACCTAATGAACTTTACAAGTGGGCAGTTGGGGGTTTGGAACTGAGGTACAACTGATACATTCACCTTGAGTCTTCTCCTCTACATACTGCCCAGCTTCCCTCTTATTCTTCCATCTTTTCCCATTGGCTGGTTGATTGAGTGACAGGGTCTTTTGTAGTCTAAACCAGCCTCAAATTCCAATGTATCATTGATTTTGTCCCTCAAATTCTGATCCTTCTACCTCTACCTTCTGAATGCTGGGATTATAAACCTGAGCTACCATGCCTGGCTCCCTCCCTCTCTCCCTTTCATATTATGCTGGACATGGTAATGCATGACTTTAATACCAGAACTCAGGGAAGAGGACAGAGGTAGGTGGATCTCTGTGAGTTTGAAGCTAGCTAAGGCTACAGTGAAACTCTCAAAAAACAAATAACAGTCTTACTTAGTTGTGCTGTACACACACACACACACACACACACTGCCATAGCTTGTGTAGAAGTTAGAGGACAACCTCTGGATGTCCAGTGTGTCCTTCCGTGTAGGTTCCGGATTAAACTCAGGTCATCATTGTTGGAGGCAGTTGCCCCTCCCTGCTGAGCTATCTTGTCGGTCCAAGAAAGATCTCACATTTCTTGAGTTGTTGTGAGATGGGGTCTAGTAGTGTATTATTTCCTTTATTATGTGTTTCACCATAAGATGTAACCTTTTTTCCTTATTCCTGACTTCATGCTAGATTTAAGAGCCAGGAGAATAAAGGCACCAGTCTTTTATTATTTTTATTTGGTATTTTTTATTCTTTGAAAGTTCCATATGTTTATGCCACAATCAAAAACATCAGTTTTATGGTCGGTCATGGTGGTGCACGCCTTAGTTCTGGCACCAGGGAGGCAGAGACAGGTGCATTCCTGTGAGTTCTGGGCCAGCCTGGTTTACAAAGTGAGTTCCACATCAGCCAAGGCTACATGGTGGGACCTTGTCCCCAAAACAAA